AAAAAAAAAAAAAAAAAAAGAGTCAGAGATTAAGTTGTCTAAGGTTTCTCAACTGGAAAAATATCTACTTTGGAAAACAAAAGCAAACCAGGCTAATGGAATAGTTATACTACTTCTGCCTGTGAAAAAGCAGAAAACTTTTCAATAGGCAGATAATCTAAATAGAGTCAGATCATAGTTCTAAAAAAGTTCATGGAAAAACTACAAGTAATGACTAAGACACCTCTGAATTTTTTTTTATAAGAGAGAGGGGATGATTTATAATCCTAACACATTAGTAAGGTAGACAAAAAATATTCTAGGACTAGAATTTGCCATTGGCAGGCATGAACCCAGGTTTGGTAGGCCAGAAAGCTTAATATTTTCAGGAAAAAATGAAAAATATAGGATGAAGAGGAGAAACAGGAAGTGGTGCAGCAAATGTAACTGAAACAGAGGGGAACAATGGAGAAATGAAGTTTAGAGAGACAGTCGTGCAGTCATTCTCAAGATCATGTCAAGCCTTGCAAACATGGTAAGAACTTTGAACTGTATTCTGAAAAACACTGGAAATAACTAAAAAGTTGTTAAGTAGAGAAAGGATATGATTTTTGCTTTTAAAGAATCCTTATGGCTATTACACAGAGAAGGGAGAAGGGTGTAAGACGGCAGACCAGTATGAAGCATACGTGGTGCATCTGACTACTGTGAAAGTAGTGGAGGTGATATGAAATAGTAAGATATTAGAGATATTATGAAGGTTGAGTCTTGATTGATTTCTACCTTCTTTTCCAGCCACCCCCGTATAAGCATGCAATACTGAGTCAATCAAAGCTAGTGGCTCAACTAACAGGTTCTTCACTCACATGTATTTTTATATACTCTTTCCCCCTGGCTAGATACTATCTCTCTAAACCACTACTCACTTGTCATGAATTAGCAAAAGTATCTTTTCCTTTGTAAAGCATTCTTTTGTTCTGTATTTTTACAGACCTTTGTCCTATTTCTACTACAACATTTATCACATCTGAAACTAATAATTTTTAAAATTCCTGCCTCTCCTGGTAAATTATGTGCTTCTCTAAGGATTAATTTATCTTAGTATTTATAAAACTTACTATACAACACACACACACACATATATACATACACACATACATACATATATATATATGTGTGTGTGTGATGTATAGTAAGTTCTATAATACATATATACATATGTATGTATACATATATGTGTATATATATATATATGTAATATGTATATAAAACCATAAACAATGGTACCATTTGCTTACATGCCTTGGGAAATGTCTTTTGAATTGGAAGTAATTACATGTATAAAATCCTAAATAGTATCCATTTTCTTTGGAAGGGAAGAAAAACTACTGAACAGCTCCCTCCCCATCCCTAGTTTGGAAAAGGAATTTGTGCCTTTCATGAGTAAGCATTTCCAATTTTCTCTCATTTTAGGAAGCCACCATTGATAACAAGTCCAGGCACTTGTTATTCAAGGCACATTTGTCATTTTTAGTTTTTATAAAGGCATAAATTATTACCATCTAGCTACTTGATAAACCTATTTCTTAAACATGTCCACAGAAATACTGCATGATATGCTTTAAATGACTGAACTGAAAATATTTTTATAATATAAAAAACAGACGGAAACTTACCAAATCAGTTTCTTTTTTCCTTCTTTTCTTTCTTTCAGTTTTTGGCACCTGGCAGAGATAGGAAGAAATATCAAAACTGTGATAACAAAGACTAACATACTTTTTACTTCTATGCAAATGTTGACATATTTGCCCCCAAAGTAATAGAATAAGTAGCACTTTGTTTTTCAAGAGGAATTGTGCAGTGCTAATAAGCAAATTTAAGAAAATTTTTAATGTTAGTAAAACACAGTGCTAATAAAAGCTACAAATTAAAGGATATTTTTGCTGGGCATGTAGATCACAAATACAACCTGGCACCGAGGGAGGCTGAGGCAAGAGGACTGCTTGAGCTTAGGAGTTGGTGACTACCCTGAACAAGTGTTAGACTCTGTCTCTACTAAAAATTGAATAATTAGCTGGGCCTTATGGCATGTGCCTTTAGTCCCAGCTACTTGGAAGGCTGAGGTAGGAGGATCATTTGAGCCCAGGAGGTTGCAGTGAGCTATGATGCCCTCTGCTACCTATGGCAACAGAGCAAGAGACTCTGTCTCTGCCTCAAACAAACAAAAAAAAGAAAATGAAAAAGAATATTTTAAAGATTATTCTCTTTTTAAATCTCAGTTCTTCCCAGAAGTCAGATCATATTAATTAAAATGAGGATTTTATTTTAATTGTTAGTTAAATAATTATTCATTTTAAAGATTTTACTCTTCATATTTTGGCTCTAGAAAACTATCACAAAAAGAATTAAATATAAAAAGGTTATTATTTGAGATATAGAAAACCTGTTTTACATATAACATTTCCTGATAACCCTAGTACAGAATGATCTAAACCTAATTTTTAAACTTATAAACAAAGGCAGTCTCAAATATTTAATATTAAGTCTTAATATCTTCTGCATAAAATAAAAATCTGAACCTTGACCTAGGTTCAAGGACTTGCTTATATCTGACTACTTCAAAATAATTTAGGGTACACACGCAAATCTTTCTAAATGGAGATTATAAATGTCTTAACACAATAACTAATAAAATGACATAAAGGCTATGTTAACCAGTTTGGTGAAAATATTTCAAATTGTATATAAAAACTGCACACTATACCCCATGACTGTATTAATGTACACAGCTATGATTTAATCAAAAAAATAATAATTTAAGGTCATTTGAAAATCTATATACAATTTAGAATAACTAAAAATAAAATGGAACATAATCAATACAAAAGACTGATGGCATTCCTTTGTAAATATTCCTGAAGTAAATAGGTAGCTAATTACAGTACTTCATTTGGAGTACTGAAAAGAAATATACTGGTAACTTTGCTTAGGCCTACTCTCTCTTCTGTAGTAAGGATTTCATTATAGTTATTAAATGGGCCTGAAATAAGAATTAAACAAAATATCCAACAACTCATACAATTCCCAGGACATAATAGGCATTTAAAAATAAAAGTTATTATTATTATGTAGGTTTCTTGAAATACACATCTTAAAAAACATTCCAGAGGAAATTTAATTTATGGGTTCCTATATAAAGGACACTAGAAGAAAATTCTACATTTCTGTTAGGTGAGAGTATAATCTTCAGAGTCCAAAATTATATTTTACTTCAGTGAACAGTGTATTACTTATTACAGAGGGTTTAGAAAATATGGTCAGATGAACTTATAGAATGGCGTTTGGAGGATCTAAAGTAGTGCTAAGTTCACATCTTCTGCAATGTTTCCTCAAATACCGAATGTTTCAAATAGACTCTTAAAAAGAATTCACAATTGAATCCTTTTAGAAATCATGATATAACACATTTACCTTAGTGACTGTGCAATCTGAAGTCTTGAATTCATTCATATATTCATCTAAAAAGACTTTAAAAGTGTTGACCCAAACCCTCACTGGAGATTCTCTCCAATTACGCTGTTCAAGCCTCATGGTCTTTTCCAGAATTTGTTCAAAGAGCGCATAGAGGTCTTTATACCGTATGCTTTTCCCATCATCCATCTAATAAGCAATAAGAGGAGAAAAATGTAAAGTTTTATTAAGAAATTCTTCAAATACAGAAGATGGATTAAACTTATATTATTTAAAATAAAGATTAGGATCCTGGCTGGGTATAGTGGCTCATGCCTATAATTCCAAAACTCTCGGAGGCTGAGGCAGGAGGGTTGGTTGAGATCAGGAGTTTCAAGACCAGTCTGAGCAAGAGTGAAACTCTGGCTCTACAAAAACACAGAAAAATTAGATAGGTGGTGTATGTCCATATCCCAGCTACTTAGGAGGCTGAGGCAGGAGGGTTACTTGAGCTCAGGAGTTAGTTGGTAGTTGCAGTGAGCACATGATGGCACCACTGCACTTAGGCCTAGATAACAGAGACACTATTTCTAAAAAATAAAAAAAAGGATCTTAATATACCTTTTCATGAGTATGTCCATGAGGTCCTGTGGTATTTACAAATTCCCACTCTGGTATGAAACAAATACAGTAAAACCTGCTAAATTTTAGTATAAGAGTTTAAACAATGTATTGATTTGAAGAACTCCTGGGAATTTTTCCTTTAAGTCTGCCTTTTGAATTTTATAGCTATAAAGATTATTTGCATCCCTCTTAATTACTTACCTCTCCAGAAATGAATCTTGGTTAGATAGCTCTACTCTAAAATTGAAATAATGAACATATGAATCTTTGCCTAATGATATATATTAAGAAACCTTCTTTATTTTAATTTATTAGAGTGACATGTCCAGAGTAACATCATATTACTTGCAAAGGAATCTAAATGGAATTCCTTTTATTTAAATGAGATATGTAATTTTTATAAAAAAGAAAAATTAGAGCTTTTAGATAAGTAAAAGGTATTATATATACATTACTTAGAACTTATTTCTCTATCACCTTTTCAGACTAGACACTAGACTTTTTTGATCTAGGGTTAGAAAACCACTATCAAGCTCTGCTTCTTAATGTTGACTTTTCCTATGTGATTCCGAGTACACGGAGGTGTTCAATACCCCTGAATCCCTGATCTAGGATATACAGGTACGAAGCAGAGTAAGAAATGAGAGTGTGAAGTGGTTGGGCAATATTAGAAAAATATACAAGACCTCAAACCTAGTAACTAATTCTTTATTATAGTCTTGATTAATTCTTTATTATAGTCTTGAAATTCCTGCTCTCTCAGATTATATGGTTCTTATTTTAAAACAGTAAAAAATCTAAAGCTGAGGAAAATATAAAAGTAGAGTACAGATAAAAACTTTTCATAATTTCTCTTTTCACAATAAGTTAAAGACTGAACAAAGAAAAGCCAATAAAATAAGAACATTTTATGGAATAAATATGATAACTCATAAATACTAACAATGGTTTCTAGACCAAAGCATTATTATGTACTTCAGCACCAAAAATAAATCCTATAAAACATGACCAATGTCATGTCAAAGTACTGCATACGGTAAATTTGAAAGTGATAAAGTAATATGTTGTAATCAGTAACCACTAACTGCCCTAATTCTACTGAAAGAAAATATAAAATACATTCCACATATAGGAAAATCAGAAGTTATACCTTGGCAGCAGAGCTAAAAGGATGGCAAGTCAAAATACCAGAATCACTGGGTAAAAAAAAATCATACCAGGATATCTAAAGTCAGTATCTTAAAAAGATGAAAAAATAGCCTGGCACAGTGGCTCACACCTGTAATCCTAGCACTTCGGAAGGCCAAGGTGGAGGACCACTTGAGGCCAGGAGTTTAAGATAGGCTTAAGCAGCACAGTGAGATCCTGCCTCTACAAAAAATTTAAAAATCAGCTGAGGGGAAGATCACTTGAGATCAGGAGTTGAAGGATACATTTAGCTATGATGCTACTGCACTCTAACTCAGAGAACAGAGTGAGAAAGAGAAGAAGAAGAAGAAAGAAGAAAAAGAAGAAGGAAGAAGGAAGAAAGGAGAAAGAAAGGAGGAGGAAAAAAGAAGGAGGGAGGAAGAAGAAAGAAGGAAGAAGAAAGAAGGAAGGAGGAGGAAGGAGGAAAAATGAGGAAGAAGGAGGAAGAAGGAAGAAGAAGGAAGAAGAAGAAAGAAAAACACCCATTACTCCAAGAAATTAAAAACTTATTAATCTGAGGTCATTCAGATTGTTTTTCCTTACGTAGCCCTAAAATAAAAACAAGGAACCCGAGAAATCTCTAGTTGAATATGTTCTCTGTTTTATCTTCTACAACACGGTCAAATTTTCATATGTTGAACTACTGAATACCTCCTTAAAAAGTCCAACTTACCGCCAGTGCAGATGAATAAAAGCTGAAGATATTCTGCCGAAATTCTTTCAAGGCTTTTTTAAATACAACATCCACTAGGGTATCTTTCTTACTGTCTTCATTATCAAGGTCGTTCATCTGGGGACCAGAAAAATTTTTATACATCATCAACTAATTGAAGAGAGGTGTAAAACATTGAACATGTAGTGTTTCTTAAAGAATGACTATCCTGAAATTGTAAGCCAGAGGCTATTAGGGGACCCAGGTAAAAGTATGACTATATAGTCAAACTATTATTACTACTAGATGATTTATTTCTAAGGTCCCTTCCAACACTGTTAAGTCTTAGTTCTGTTAACAGAAAAACGACTGCAGTTTGCAATAACAAAGTCTCACCACATATGAAATGTTAACATGAAACAGAAGTCAATAGTAAAGCCTAAAACCATATATTCTATCAGTTTGACTAATGCATATCCTATTATTTGTATCTTTTTGGTAAAGAACTTACTGAAGCATCTGTAACTTTGATCTCTAGAGGGCATATCCTGAAATACACAACCATTCTATAGCCTAAATTGCTCAGAGGCCTAACTCAGCAAATAAGCATACCTTTTTCAGAAGAAATTCATCCATGCTTTTTAAGTCACTGGTACTTGCTATGATTTGGACAGAGTCATTTTGCCAATGCACAGAATCCAAAGCCACATTGCTGATCTTCACACTTCGCTTGCGCTTAGCCTTTGGAGAAGGCTGTTTGTTCTCTTTGAACTCCTTCCGGCAACTCCCAGGCAGTTCTGGGCTCAAAGGAGGTGTTGGATGATACTGAGCTAACTCTACAATTCAAGACAGAGCATCCCAAAAGACTTCATTAGTGAAAATAGATAATCTTTATCTTTCTTTTTCAGTTCCTTTAGTAAATCACTAAAGGAAACATATGCAAATATATGAAAAGCAAAGTAACATTATATGTTTCAGGTAGGTAGGCAAAAAATTCAGATTGTACATGAGTGCAAAAAATGTATTTAAGAAATAACGCTTTCAAAGGGAAATTGTATCTAGGTCTGATATTGAAAGCCTGGATGGAAAACACCTTGTAGAATATCAACCTAGATCCCAAAGACCTCAACCCCAAGGGAAAGAAGGGACAGTATACAACTAGCATATTACATGCTGAGGATTAACCCAGTCACAGCTTTGCTGCATGTTTGAAAGAACATTCAGCTATATACAAGTCCAACAACCAGTAGAGTTTGATAATTATTACTATTATTTCTTCACTACAGTCTGAAGTCATGAATGTTTCAGTGATAATATGTGATGATAACCTAGCAACCTGTTAAGGAGCCAGGGAACTCAACCGACTTAAATGTGCTTAGGGCAGGTGTCCTCAAACTACAGCCTGTGGGCCACATGGGGACCGCCTAGGACATTTATCTGGCCCACCGGGTGTTTTTGCCACTGCTGCCTATCCTGCTTAGCAGCTGACTCATCCTGGGGCCTGAGGTCCGGCCCTTCAACGGTCTGAGGGACAGTGAACTGGCCTCCTGTTTACAAAATTTGAGGATCCCTGGGCTGAGGACTCTTTAGTACTTACAATTTTCCTATAAATTCCCCAATTAAGTGTCTGAACTTCTCACAGAATTACTGGAGAGAACTGGTTTTGTGTGTATATATATGTAACACTGAGAAGCACAATTTTTCTCTGCAATTGTTTATACCAGATAAATTAGATCCCATGCAGTCCATTAGAATCTAGGATTAGACTGATTTTGCCAAAACCCTAAGTGAAGAGTGAGAATGTTGCCCTCTTCTCTTTTCATATACGCTTGTTACTTTAACATGCACGCTCCTTACCCTCTGTCCAATGGTGTATTCTAATTCCACCTAAAAGCTAATTCTTTTTTTTTTTTTTCGGTCTTAATTTGTATTACTCAAAAAAAGCTTCATATTCTTATTTAGCTTTCTGACTCTGTGCTTGTGCCTTCAACACTTTCACAATGATTTTCTGCTCCTCAAAAAGGAAAGCACGCTTGATCCTGTCACGAACACATTTAGCACACATGGAACCACCATAGGCCCTGCTGACGTGTTTTTTTGTTTTAGACAACCTCATAAGAACTTTAGGTCTCATAGCACGACCCCCTCGAAGTCTGCCTGGGCACACACCACATGCAGATTTTGGTGCTTTCCCAACCTTCTTGGTATAAAGGTAAACAATTCTGTTACCAGGGTCCAGGACAGCCTGGTTTTGTGGAGGCTGTATTGTAGGAAAGCCTACGACGGTACGTCAAATGCTGCACCATTTTGAGTGCCTCTAGACAGCGTCCCCGGAAGAGGGCTAAAAGCTAATTCTAACAATAAAGAGAAAAGTAGGCCCATACATACTAAATGCCAAATTAGGCAAAAATTGAGACAAAACCAATCTTAGCTATGATACCAGAATAAAGGCTATAAAGTTATGGGACACAAGTATATTCAAACTTAATATCAATCAATTTTAATTCCATTATATAACTTAGATATGTTAAGCATTTAATTATTTCATTTAGCAAAGTCAGTGTCTTTGTTGTGATAAAAGAAACAATTACTAAACTATAAACCCATTTTAATATTAAAAACAAGAGCTACCTTAATATAATAAATTTTTACCCAGTGAAAAGCTATTATCCTAACTTTCATACATGTCTCCCTATAAATCAAATACACAATGAAATCTGCTTATAATATAAATTTTTAACTAAAAAGATTTACAGTTTTCTTAGGAATCAGCAGCAAAGAATTTAATTTGGAAAATGAAAAATTTAGAATGACTAATGTTAACCAGACAAGATACAAGAAATTGATCACCTTAGTAACACAATAGTAAGGAATTCCACATTTTCCAAACTGAATAGGTAGTATTCACTTTACTTATTAGTGGTTTTGTCCACATCAGTTTGTCATCCAATAGGAGCAGAGCCACAAGATACAAAGATAGGGGTCTAGCTACTTCTCCATCAGTCTTTTCTCTGACACATAGAGCGGACAAGTACCTTTACCTATCCATTCCTATGTTGAAGTTTGATGATCTTTCCTCCTTGTCCTTGTATTTTCTTCTAGATGTGAAAAGTTTTGCTTACTTACTGTAACTGGGTGTAGTCTATCCTTCCTTAAGAAACAATAGCTTTCTTCCTACAGGTTCTTTCTATTTTAGTCTATGTTGGCTTTTCACTCACATTACTATACACACACCTCTGATGTATATTCCTGTTAAGACAGCTGGCATCTTTACATAGTAGATAAAAACTCTCAAACATTCCTGAGAAAAGGGCTTGGGAAAGAGGGATAATCTTCTAATATTGGGAATACTTGAACCCTCAGAGAGTAAATAATTGTATTTAAAAAGGTCAGTTTTCTCAACAGCTGGAACACTTTCAAATGTTATGGTTCATGACCAGAACGTTAAAGAACTACATTATAAAGTGTCAGGGATCTGCTAGACATTGATATTCAGTAGGTACTTAACATACAATGTAGTGGTTAAGAACGTGGCCTCCAGAGTGTCCATGGACTGCTTGGATTCAAATTTCAGCTCTTCCAATTACTACATATGTGTATAAATAAATAACTTCTCTGTGCTTGAGTTTTCTCAGGCACAATAATAATCATGCCAACTTTCAAAAAATTATTGTGAGGGTCAATTAAGTTAATACACGTAACATGCTTACTACAGTGCCTTGCAGCCTTGTATTACAGTTAAGTCCTCAAATATTTGCTGCTGTTATTATTATCAATAATATATATTATTTGTTAAGGGAAGATTAACAAATTAAGGCTAACTTAAGATTCATAAACATTCTTGAGGTGGTGCTGACTTGTTTTACGACACATTCTTGAACTTCTATTACAGATAGGTACATGTAACTTTATAATTATTTTTAGTCAAGGAAGGATTTAACAATCCTGGTCCGATCTCGTTAGGATTATCTAGGCAATAGGAATGCTGTTATGAATACTATAGGAATAGCAAACTTTCAGAAAGGGTAAACAGAAATTGTGATGAACAAAAATTATGAAAACATGTTCCACCCTTTGTCCGTTTTTACCATCTGGAAACTGATCAGCTGGAATTACTTCTGAGGCTGCAAAGAGTGCTGAACCCTCTGGCTGGGTGGCATGTTTCACTCTAGTCATCTTCTTCTCCCCTTGTTTCCCTTTGGCCCAGAATCTCATCTTAGCTCTCTGAGGCCTGTTTGAAAAAATAAAGGTAAAAATGAAAATCAGCATGCCCCAGTGATAATATTTACAAATCACTTTAAGCTTCAGAAACCTTTCACATATATTAGCTTATTTAACCATTACATTTTAATTCAACCATATTTAATCTTCAATTTCACCAGGAAGGTAGACAGTTTCCTCATCTTAAATACAGAAATAATAAGACCTCCCCCATTAAATAATTTCCTAAAGTAAAACAGCTACAAAGCAGTTGAACTAGTTTTCCAACTCAAATTGGTAATCTTTTCATTCTTGACCCCCATCCAGCTTAGATTTAGTATATATACAACACAACTTAACAACTAAGAAAATACTTCTAAAAAATCATTAATAATCCTACTACTCTAACAGAAAGCTTACTTTTTTGTAATTTCCTTCCAGCTTTTATCCATAATTACACCAATTTTTACATCACTGTAATCATGATACAGATATAATTTTAAATCTTTCCACTTACCATTATATAATATTAATGTTAAAAGTTAATATTTGTATTTCTAAAAGGTGAACCATTTCTACACTATTTTGTACTCATGAGCTACCAATTTCTTTAATTAACAAAAGCCTACTTGTTTGAACTCTTTCTCCAGGCACAGGGTTAAGTACTTATATAGGATTACCTTATTTAATTATAACAACTTTGCTCTTAATAAACTACTATAATATTATACAAGTAAAAAACTAGAGACTTACACATTAGGTAACTTTCCCAATGTTACACAGCAAGTGAGCAACAAAGAATCACACCTACTATACTCTTCTAAGTGCTCGTATAGTCTGTCATCATATAAACCAAGGAAGTACCTTCCGATAACAACAGCTTACATTTACTGACCACACATTATATATTCTAACCCTATGCTAAGAGGCTTATTTGCACATTAATTTGTCCATATATATATTCATTCATTCAATTAAAAAAATAATTTAAGCATCTACTCAAGGTGACAAGAACTATGCCTTACATGTGATAGCTCTAATTCTCACAACTACCATGGTAAATAGGTATTATTATCCTTATTTTACATATGTGCAACCTGAGTCTCAAAGAGCTGATGGAGATGGAAGTTAAGATCAGGTTTATCTGTTTTGAAACCATGATTCCCTGCCTTTTTTTAAAAATAAGCTTATTATTAAACACAGTCATATAAAGACATATCATTCTATAAGACATTATAAACAATAGCACCTTTTTGCCCTTCTCATCCCATTTTCTGCGCCCGGGACAGAACTCTCTTTTTTAAACATTATTAACATGATAATTGATTTTTAACATGCTTATTTTACTATCATACTCATGAGCACAGGTAATGACGAAGCATGTTCTACACTTCTGCCTTATATCCATTATACCTACTACAAACATTATGTCCCCAATATAATTATATTCCATCTTTAGTTAGGTTAATATTCAGGTTACCTTTAGTAAATGTGTTCAGTATTTATTCTATTATGTAAATAATACAGTTGGGACATGTAGTTCCCTAAATAACCTATTTTAGTAGGATTTTTCTTTTTGATAGAGACAGGGTCTTGCTCTGTTGCCCAGGTCAGAATGCAGTAGCATGATATCAGTCACTATAGACTGTAACTCCTGGCCTCAAGTGATCCTTCCACCTTGGCATATCAAAGTACTGGGATTATAGGCATGAGATACCATGCCAGGCCAAGAGGTTTCATATTTTTAATTTGCTCATGAAAATTGCTTTGTTTTTCATTTGCTAACTGTCCTATTAGGTTTTTAAGTACAGAATGTCCAATTTCCTTAAGTACTAAGTTTGACAGAAGGTACCGCTCATATTTTACTTTGACGTTTCTTATTTTATTTTTATTGTGAAGGTAGCACGTTCATGCTAGCAGTGAAGATAGCACATTCCGGCTTATGATTATCTTTCAAATTTTTTTGTAGAGCAATTTTTGTGAAACCACAGATAAGTTAAAAATTCATGTTATTTTTGAATGTGAGTTCTGTCATTGAGCCAATACAACACAGACAGCTTGAAACACCAACAAAGTGTTTGTGAAGGATGTAGCTAATAAATGCAAAGTTAAGTCAACAGCTTGAGAAGTTTCACTGTGGTGATTTTAATCTTGAAAATGAGCCACAAAGGCAATCTGAAACCAAGGTTAATGTTGAGCCGAAGCTGTAGTGAAAGTGAATCTATCTCAACCTACATGTCAATTAGCAGCAAGATCTGAGGTTACTATTTCAGTAATATTGGACCATTTAAAATAAATTGGCAACATAAAGAAGCTGGATAGATGGGTTCTACATGAGTTAAATGAATATCAAAAGAAAAATTGTCTTCAAGTTTGCCTTTCTTCGCTGTCATAACACTAAGGTGAACCATTTCCACAGTGTGTTGTCACATGTGATGAAAAATGGATTCTTTAGTCAACTGCAAGCATCAGCACAATGGTTGGATAAAGATGAAGGGCCGAACACAGTCCAAAACCTGATGTTCAACAAAAAAAGCTAATGGTGTCTGTTTGGTGGCCCAGAACTGATACTATACACTATAGCTTAATAAAACCTGTTCAATCAATTTCAGTGGATATCTACTGCAACCAACTGGACAAAATGATGAGGATGCTTGTGATTAAGCAGATGACACTGGTCAACAGAGAAAGGTCAATCTTCCAATCCTCTTGTAAGAAAATATTGTTGCACAAACAACACTACTCAAACTGCAGAAGCTGGACTTGGAAACTCTGTCATCCACCATATTCACCAGACCTTGTGCCAAATGACTTTTACTTCTTCCAGGCTTTGGACAAGTTCTTGCAAGAAAAAGTATTTAATTCTCAACAAGTTTTGGAAAATGCCTTTCATGCCTTATCACTTGCTCCCCAGGTTTCTTCACTGCTAGCATGAATGCACTACTATTAAAATGGCAAAACTTTGTCAGTAGTTTAGGCACATACTTTGATTAAACGTACTTTTTGATGCAAAATAGGACATTTCATATTAATGACCTAATACATACAACTTGCCTCTAAGTTCTCCCTTTTTGTGTATGTCTCCTCTCAATACGTTTAAGTGTATTAGGTACTCTACCAGTTTTATCTTCTCTGAAGAAATCTCTGCCTGAGCCTCCTAGCATGCTCTGATCTGGAATGGTTTCCCTCATCGCTTCCTTTGCAGCTATCATTTGAAAAGCCACTTACATTGTCACAATGGAGACTCTTCTGTCTCTTTTGTTTCATAAAGATATGTCTTTTGATGGTTTCTTTTCATCCATTATGTTTGATACTCAGTGAGCCCTTCCAATCTAGTTACTCATATCCACCAGTCCTGTGAAATTTGGTTGAATTACTTTTTTAATAATTTGCTCCTCTCCATTTTCTTGGGTCTATCTTTCCAGAGCTCCTATCATTGTGCCACTAGACCTCCTGAACTGATCCTGTTATTCCTATTTATTCATCTTTTTGCTCAGTATTCCTTAACTTTCCTTCCAATCCTTCTGTGTTGCTCCTTTATGCTATCATATGTTTCATTTTCAAAAGTTCTATTATGAATGTTTCTTATGTATCCTGTTTGGTTTCATAGATACAATAATACTTACTATGCTGAAGGTCTGCTGACAGTTGTATTTATTTGTCTTTAAGTCTTATATCCCCTACATAGTTTATTTCTTCCTAGTTATATTTTATCTGTTAGCTTGGCTTTCTTCAAAATAAGGTTATTTCCTTAAATGTGTGGTCACCACTGTTACCTGCTTAAAAGTAAAAGTAGCATTTACAAAAAAGATGTTTGGAAGCCCTAGTGTGCATTGGTGGGACTTCTACAGTCTTCCTTACAGGGTTCTCTTGCTGGTTGATGTTGCAGGGAGAGCCCCTGATAGTAACATGTGCATCTTCAGGTTTTTGCCTAAAAGTTTGGACAAAAGTCCCCAAAACTCTTCGAACCACTTGCTTAAAGGATATGGGAAATGTGGGAACTGAGCAAAGAAAAGGAGCTGGGGAACACAGATATTCAGTATCTAAATAGTCACTGAATCTCCTTTTTCCAAATATGTACTCCAGCCCTCAACTACATCGGGTAAATTCTAAGTCCAGAAATTTTTATTTTATCCTTTCCAAAGAATAAATTTGCTTTCTGATACAACTGGGGAAGTCAGCTAGATACTTCTTTCTCAGCTTAATTCAGCTGGTTTAGGATTCAGCTTTGTCTTATCAATTAAGACATTTAAAACTTAAAGTCTATTTACACATTTCAGATTCCATAATTTTATTGTGGATGTCTCCATTTCTAATGGAGACAGCAATTTTAGGGGACGAAGTAGAAATTATACATACATATTTAAGCAGCTATCTCCAGGTCTAAGTTCTTTTGCTATGTGTATCTTATTTCTCAGCATTTGATTTCTAGTATCATCAGCTCTGGATTTTGGTTACCTTGGATTATGTTTCTATAGTATGGAGAAAGTTGTCTTCAAGAGGATTAATGAACCAGAAAAATTTCCACATGATATTGAAGTTTGTAGTGAGGGCTCAAATGCTTACAAAGCATAATAAGAGATAAAAATATTCATTTAAAAAATAAAAATTCCATCAAGCTCTCTTTTAAAGAGAGCAGAATTATTTCCTGAAAGTCCATTCCATTTCCATTTCTAAAATACTTATTAGCAGAACAAAATCCAAGTTGAAAGGTTAAACATATTTTCAGTCTTATCTTGTCTAATCTTCCTTTTCAACAAAAGACCACAAGTCATATAATCACTTCGAGTTTCTACCCCAAATCGTACTGCTAAGCATAGAGGGAGAGAAAGCACATTATATTGAAGGGAGCCAGAATGTATCACCTCAAAATATGACTATCTGACACAAATTATTTTTAAGCTAAAGGCAATTACGTAATAGGAGCAGAAAAGCTCTGGTCTCTCTCCTATTTGCCTAAAAGCAGGACATAAGTTTATAAAGGTGTTCTCCCCCTCCTCCTCCTCCCAGGAAGGGCAGAACTTAGTCACTCTTATCAACTAGAGGAAACATCGGAGGAATCTACAAATAAACATTACTACATTAGTTTCCCCATAAATTTACCCTCTCACAGTTTTCCTACCTTTGGACCTAAAACTGCTTTTCTTTGTCTTATAACTTCTCTAAAATTTAATATTCTTCATTGAAGACAATATATAAGCCAGACTCCTAAACCATTACTTTAATTTTTTCCTGCATGATGCACATTACATGTGTTAATAAACTTGTTTTTCACATGTTAATCTATTTTTTTGTTATAGGAGTTTGTACCAACTATGAACTTACAAGGGTTAAGGAAAACTTTCTTTTCTCCCTCTAATATATCTCTGTTGTGCCTGTATATGTCTTGAAAAATTGGAAAATGAATTTAATCTCAAAAGTGGCTTCCCTATGAATTATGGTTTTAAAAAGGCCTACTATTTTGTATCCAATTACTAAATAAAATTATAACATCTCTATTAATTCTGTGTATACTTTATACCTTATGTTCAAATCTGAAGCCTTCTGTCTCACTGCCAACTTTGTAATCTCTCCTTGAGACATAGTTTTATGAAGCTTTGCTTGTTGATCAACTGAAGAAAATCGCTGTGAAGTCTGTAATAATTACAAATGTGAAAGACTTTAAAACCAAGTAAATACAAGATTGACTGTAATTAAAACTGAGGTTATGGAATTATTTGAGCAGTTAAAAATACATAAAACATATTCTTATTATTCAGAGATTTACTGGAATAATAGAACCTACTGATAACTACAGTAATCTGGACTGAGGAAGACTAGGTCAATGAAAATGCTAAATATCAGTTAATGTTTTCTGACAGTTTATAATAAAGAATCGCAAGTAAAAAGGTAAGAAAAAAGTCAAAACCATCTATAAAGATACAGACAAAAGACAGAGGGTCAGATAAATGTGGAACACTAAGTGTTGTCTTTCAAACCGCCTTTTATTTGTCCCAAAATGTGGTTATCATTTTTATGATTTAACTTGATATTATAGATTGTTCTTAGATGCAGTCAAAAATTTAAAAGAGCTAGTATATATGAAGATTAAAAAAACCTAAAAGACTAAATAATAAAAGAATATTATCATCACTAGAAGTCAAAATTATAAACAATTTACAAATAGAACAAAGTGGGACCTGAATTTCAATTGCAATTCTTGTACCACCTGTTCACAAAGTGATCTTCTAAAGAAAATCCTACTCTGAGAGGAGAATTTCTACCTATTCAAGTGATTTCCCACTATTTCATTTTCCCATAATTAAAATATCCTTTCTTTTGCCTTTTGGTCTACTTGACTATGGCCTTATCCATAGACACAGAAAATATTCTGAGTTGTTAAAATTCAAAGAACAGATTTCTGTTCTGGCAAAGATAAAGTAAAAAGGACATGGTTTATCCTCTTTCCTAAAACAAAATAAAACTTGGCAAAATAAGAAACAGCAGTTTTCAAGACATTGGAAAGCTATCCTTGGGAAATGGGTAACAAAGGAAGTGTGTCCTACACCTGCTCCATCTTACTGCCATGAGATAGTTTATAGGTTGTGACACATAGAGGAGGAACCCAAGTGAAACTCAGCAAATCCCCTGAGATGAACACATGAAGCTGACAGTCCAAAGTGACCAATGAGACTAGAGACTAAAGGACAGAGTCCCAGCTACTTGGGAGGCTGAGGCAGGAGGATCGCTTAAGCCCAGGAGTTTGAGGCTGCAGTGAGCTATGATGATGCCTCTAAACTCTAGCCTGGGTGACAGAGCAAGGTAAGAGAAGAAGAGAAGAGGAGGATAGAAGGAGGGAGGAAAGGGGAAAAAAAGAAGTCAGGGCTCGGTGCCTGTAGCTCAAGTGACTAAGGCACCAGTCACATACACCAGAGCTGACAGGTTCGAATCCAGCCCAGGCCTGCCAAACAACAATGATAACTACAACCCCAAAATAGCCGGGCATTGTGGTGGGCGCCTGTAGTCCCGGCTACGTGGGAGGCTGATGCAAGAGGACCTCTTAAGCCCAGGAGTAGGAGGTTGCTGTGAGCTGTGATGCCATAGCACTCTACCCAGGGCGACAGCTTGAGGCTCTGTCTCAAAAAAAAAAAAAAAAAAAAAGTCAGTAATAGCACCTGTGCTCTCAGCCAGAAAATATAACTTTATGATTCCTATGATACTGGGCAAAGTATTCAGACAATCTTGCTTCAATAGTCAAGAATAATTAGCCCCAGACTGAGTATTTTTTGAGTCTAATTAACCTTAGAAAGACCTAAAAAGATCAAAGATCAAAGAAAAAAGCTCTCAAATATTATTGGAAAGTAATAGTCTAAAAAACATTAATTGGGAGACTTTACGGTTTTTGTATTAACCTGGATGGACGTGGAACACATTATTCTTAGTAAAACTTCACAAGAATAGAGAAGCATGAATCCTATGTACTCAATTTTGAAATGAGGACAATTAATGACACAGTGGGGGTGGAGAAAGGGAGAGCAGAGAGAGAAAGAAGGAGAGAGGGGTAGAAGAAAGGGAGAGCAGAGAGAGGGAAGGAGGGAGGGGGGTGGGGTCTTGGTGTGTGACACACCTTTTGGGAGCAAGACACGATTGTAAGAGGGACTTTACCTAACAAATGCAATCAGTGTAACCTGGTTTCTTGTACTCTCAATGAATCCCCAACAATAAAAAAAATTAATTGAACATAAAAATATCTACAAAAACTACCTTGAACAAGGCAAAATTCACAATGTTGGTACAAACTTAACTAGGCATGCAAAGAAGTAGGAATATATAATATATACCGAGGAGAGAAAATAATCCATTTATATGGACTCAAAACTGACACAAATATTGTTGAATTAGAAGGAGGACACTGAAACAGTAATTATATCTGTATAATTGAATTGGAAGATAATAAAAATCAAATCAAACTTCTAGGGATGAAAACATCAATGTCTGAAATGGAAAAAATATACTAGATAGGACTACAGAATAAAAAGTGACGTGAAGACATCTTCATGCCAGAAGAATCAGGTAGACTTCTTGTGCTAGAAATTTCTGTCTCTTCTGACCAGCATTTCTCATGCTTTCATGAGGTAACAGGACCTTAACCACTTCTGCAAAAATCCCTTTACAACAGAAATTACATTTGTGTCTGATTAAGTAACTGGGAGAGGGTGTGTTTCAGTAGGGATGGGAATCTTGTGAGATCATACTGGAATTCTTCCTACCACAGAACACAAATTATATATAATCATATTCATAAGAAGGTCTAGAATAGTGATTGCTTCTGAAGGTGAAGTTGAAGGGGCACGGTCAAGTAGAAACATTAGAAGGATTTTGAGGTTACGGCAATCTTGAAAGGAGTGTAGGTTATGTAGTTGTATGTATATGTAAAAAATGATCAAACTGTACATTGAAGGTCTGTGCATTTTCACTATATGTATTATAAGCCTCAATTATAATACTAATAAAGCCAGGATTAGGCCAATAATATGAGCTCCCATGAGCAATCTAAACATCATAAAAAGAGAGATCTGGTCCCTGATGTGATGCAATAGGATATATTACCATCAACAAAGTATTTTCTTCAAAAAAATTAAGCCCAAGTATGATCAAAACTCCCAGTGTTTATGGATATTTGTCCCATGTTTCCTGTGAATTGACATGTCACTTAAAATGATAACAAAACAGTTAGAATCAATAAAATCCAGAAATGTGTGCTCCTCAACAGAATGAATGACCCTATTTCCTCAACAAATAAAATGCTAGAGGGAAAAAAAAAAAGGAGGTAGGAAAAATTCATCCATTAAGTGGGTCTTAAAAACAACTTCTATGAAGCTAAAAATAATGAAGGTTGCCTAAACACAAATAAATATCATGATATAGTCAAAAAAGTAATACAAAACCATCCTGGCTGAGCATGACAGGGAAAAAAAAAGAACAAAAATAAAACTACACAGAACTTACCCTTATAACATAACTAGAAAGAAGAGAGCACACAAACTTCAAATTACCTGTAGACAGAAAAATAGCCCAGCAAGACCTCTTTCACATTCCTACTACATGCTTTTTCACAGACCAAATGTAATCCAAGAAAAATTGTGCAAAAGAAAAAAAAGTAAAACTAGCAAAAGGATTGGGGTTTATCTAAAATCACTGCCAGAAAAAGGAGATCTACCCTAATTGTGGAAATACAAAAGATTATTCTAAATTAGTGAAATGACTAAAAATGAATGTGAAATGAGGTGGCATAAAAAACATAGCTTCAGGGGGAAAAGAAGGTAAAAAGGAAAAAGGGCCCTTTGGAGACTAGATAATGAAGAGAAAAAGAAGCAGAAGATAGAAATTTAGAATACAGCAAGGCAGAAGAAAACCGAGAAAATTGAAGGACATACAACACTGCTTCCACCAACACTAAAGGAAAAATAAAAACAGGCCATTCATTAACAAAACTGTACTTCTTTGATAAAAGAGGAACTTCTTGAACTTGTTATCTTATAACCCACCCACATATACACAAGATGAATAAATTAAAATATACAAAGTCTATAAAAAGCCATAATTAATTAAAAAAGCAAATGAATACCAAATGAGAATCAAAATAACTCAATTGGTTAACCCCGGCCCCTCACTAAAGAAAATAGCAACTCTCAAATGAATCAAATCTCCTCATATACCACAGACCTTCCATAGTTGACCACCTCCCCTACATTGACCAACTCCTTTAAGGTTCTGATGCTTCCAAATTTGGTAACTCAAGGGGTTGTTTTCAGACTAAAAGTAACACAGACTTACCCCTACCTTAACCCCTACCTTAACCCCAACCTGGAGAAAAGCATGCTGCCTTATCTCCCTAACAAGGCAGATCTGAGCAACTATTCTTCTGTCTTCCCAGTTTGGCCAAATCGAATAGACCTCACTCTATCTCTATGCACTGGTGTCACTGGGTTTGGCTTTGCTGTGAATCAAGTTTTATAACATTAACTTACAAGATGTCCAAGGGAAAAAAAGCACAAATGAAAATTTAAAGGGAATTGAATAAAGGCAAAAAAATAATAAATATAAAAGTGATATAATGAAAAAAGTATAAAGGTCAGAGAGGTAACCGACATGGAAGGCATGCAAAACAGAAAAAATACACATGCAATTAGAGTCCCTAAAAAAACACAAAACCCTAAACTATGCATAACTAATATTTAAAACTATAATTAATATAACATTTAAAAAATAGATCAAAATTTAAATACTAAAAGCACCTAATAGGTATGTGGGATAATTAATCTGTAATGATCAATTGAAGACATACCCTAAACTAGAAATACAAAGGAAAAATTCTGAATGCATCTAAAAGATCAAGAACTTGTAAGACCAAGAGAAATAGACTTGCATTTATATATATTTAAATATATAAAGCGTAACAATAAAATAGCATTTTTAAAAGACACAGGGGAAAAAAAGTGCGAATTAAGAATTTTAGATATAGCCAAAATGCTCCATTTAAGCATCAAGGCTATAGAAAGAACTCAGGAAATTCTGTATCTGTGAACTCTTTGGAACAGCTGCATCTGACCAAGGGATAAATACTAAAGCCCCAACCAACTGTCTAATGTGAC